AAATTAGACATCGAAAGTAGACTTTCAGTGTAATTGATTGCGGTAACTCAGAAGATCGCATTCAAGCATCCCAGTTATGCACGCACGCCTTGTTTTACATCCTTATTTGAGAAAGAGAATAACTTTTTTAGACATGGTTGTGAAATGCTATCAGTTTGATATCTGTTAAAGAGTTGTGTGAAAACTATGTGCAATCCAGTATCAAATAGTTAGTGATTCTTCAGACCGCAAGGTCTGAAGAATTTTTGCTTTTACAATTTGTTGGATAGTGAAAAAGACAGTATCTCTTAAATCACAAATGTGGACCATTACGGACAACTTTTTAACAGTCTAAAATTTGTGACAACAATAATATTTCCTTGTGATAGTAACACCAAATTTTCATTTTTTTTAACAGTATAAAAAAAGTACAGAACATACTAGTATCTTTCTTACTGGCAAAACCGAGATAAGAAATAATGTCTTTCTTATTGGCAAAACCCTAATAAACATGAGCAGTTTAACTCCATAAATTAAATGTGTCTTTCTGTTAATACATTACGCTTAACTAGACCTTTAAAGACTGAGAAATATGTATGAAAAATATTCAAAAATAATGATCAGATAGATGACTTAAAAGAACTAGTCAAGTATTACAGATTGAAGAGAAAGAATAACGCAATTGGTTCAGAAGAATCCAGAGTTTCCCCAGCAAACAGTTGCTTGGAATAGTTTTATACCAATATGTAAGCTCATAACTTAAGTTTGCATCAACTCCGCTAGAGGGATCTACATCAAATTGAAGCTCAGTTGTCATGCAGTACTTATGTTATTTCTTTATTACCCGTTTATGAGAATAAGTCCTAAATAGTACGCCAGAATGATCATAATAAGCTCACGTGAGGTTCTCATAATTGTTATTATTCTTTGCTGTAAGGTCTCTATTCAACCCTATGTGGACATGGTTCTCCATCATAAAGGTACAAGCCAGTTGATTTCTCCATACATTTATTCACAGACAAATACAAACCATGCATGAGTAATTCGAATGTTTCCCAGACGCAATTCTAGCAATATGTGTAATATGATACGTTTTTGAAGACCAAACTGAATTACTCAAAGCTCTGAATAATTTATCTAATAATGAAAACAAGTCAAATACTAACCTTTTTATCACTAAGAGCTTTAGCTGCAATAAATCCCTGCTCCAAACAAAAACCGAACAAATGGTTGAGAATAATTACTGCTTCACCAATCGACGAACAATTTTTAATTTCCGTCTCAGCATCACGACAAGCTTCCGCATCTACCGTTCCCGAATCCTATAAAGAGAACGAAACAATCTTAAACAAGTGCTTGAACAAGAACACTGTATTATAGAGCAAGGATCATTGAACATTAGTCTCGATGTCAAGCTTGTTACAGTTTAGAATGAAAGCAATACTTGAGCAAGGAATTATACTGAAATTTTCTAAAGTACAAAACTTTGAAAACATTTATACTCTCTATCTTTTATGCAAACATAAATTTTTTTTAATGTTCTTTATCTTTTATGTAAACGCAAAACAACGAAAGAAATAGTATAACATGAATAAAAAGAATAGAGATAAAAGTAGCAGTGCCTGCTCAGAAGAGCGCATATAGACGTGTCTGTATTATATTTTTTACACACTCTCGTCCTTCAATCAAATGTTTTTCCGAATTTTGCAGAACTTAATCTCATTAAGAAATCACTTTTTTTTTTCATTTTGGTCCGTACAAATTAAAAAATACAAGTGAGATTATGTTGTAGAAAAGAGGGAATTACTTTTAAAGGGGGATTATAAAATAAGAAAGCTATAAACGATAAGAATAAACATATATTTTCAATCTTTTCATCTCACCCCATTTGATTAGCTGAGAGCAACACGTCGTTTCAAGGAGTGACTTCAGAAATATTCATGAAGAGATCTACTTGCATAGGAAAATTGCAAAATACTACTGAATCAAACTTTCCTTTTACGTCATAACTGACTTCAGATATAACTGTACATGCATGCATGACCGTTCTCCATCTCAAGTTTATGTTTTTCTGTATAACTTGTTATGCACATTTTGCTAGCTTTTTCATGATACCCTAGTTGCATGGGTCTTAAAATAAAGTCATCCACAATCTCTATTTATTTTTCCTCCTAATTCTCTTCATTTTTATTACCACTTTCATTTTTTCCAAAATGAACAATCTAATAACGGTGATGATAATGCAGGAATGAGTCACTGCCAATTTTTGCGGTAAATTATGAAAAAGTATAGAAGACCAGGACCAAAAAATTTCGCTTTTTAAAGTATTCTACGATCAATTTCGATTGCCTCTAATCTTTTTCTCAAACAATTATGTGACACTCATGAAACCGTGCCATATGACATACTGAGGATAAGTGCATAGAAGATGACTGAAGATTTTGATAATGAAAAACGCAAACTATATACTAGAAAATGAGTTGCCTACTGTGGTAATTATGATACCAAAATGCTCGCTAGCAAGATTTTTACTTCGCTGTAATTCGCTGAAGTATTATAAGAAATGGGTTCATTTAGCACACAGTTAAGGATAATGCCTGCAATCCCCTTATGAAGAAATTTAATTTAAAATCTATCACAAGAATTTCATTTGCTTCCATTTTATTTCATTTTAATTTACGTCAACAAATTTTTAGATAAATTCTTTATGAATGTACATGGTTAACTGACTTCTCATATCGGAAAGTCAGCTAACCATGATTTCTTTAGCATTCATTTATGTCCATTTATTCTACATAACAAGTATATCGTTCCACGAAGCTATTTCATCTTTACTATTCATACTTCTGGTCTTTTTGTGATACGTAAAAGAACTGATCAATAATCAATGAAGCTTAAAACTAATCGTATCCATAACTAATTCTTCTTCACCAACCGACAATAATTTTAAGCCTTCTGCAGTTGTTTTGGCCTTCCTTCTTCATTTCTGCTGCTGCAGAGACAAAGAAATCAAACCTGTTTTCGTTTTTTTGAATGAAGTAAAAAAAAATTCCAACTTATTTCATACTCTTGTTCGGACATTTTATAAATGAAACTCGCTATGTGTGAGACAGAGTATGTGAGATAAACAAGATTTTCTCAACAAGAAAAAAGTTTTTCAGATTTTTAAAAGAAAAATAAACATAAAAAGAAAAATAAATATAGGAAATGTCCCATACACATTGCAGCCTAGATTATTCGAATTTTTTTGGAATGTTAATGGGCTTTTAAGTGCTCGATTTTGTCCTCTCATTTTTTAGTGAACTCCTGTACCTGCATTACCTAAAGATTAATGGTTCCCCTTGTATGCTCTATCTTTTTCAAATAAAAATTATTCATTTAAAAAGGGGAGAAATTAGAGGAGAAACTATTAATCGAAATATTCATGAAAACTCAAATACTGTCAGAATTCAGGTATTTTTGTAACTCAATTTAAAAAAATCACTGAGTTCAATTTTCATCCTTCGTGATTGGTAACCCACTATAAAATAATTTTATTGAGCTGAAAAAGAATTTGTTTTCTCCATATTTTTAGATCAGACAAAAAGGAACCGCGAAAGTTATTAAAAAGGTAATTAGTACGATATTTAATGTTTCAAAAGTGAAATACATCACCACTATATATGAAAAGTATTATACGGCTTACAAAAAAATGATTAAAATTGAAAACAGTAACTTTTGCCTGCACTTTACAAAGCATATGTCTGCAGCTTTTGCGGTCTAGAAAGCATTTTTCTTGAACATACCATTCTATGACATTTGCTCTTAAAATTTCCAGGAAAAACTATTGTGCATTCATTATTTCATTTCTGGAAACACAAAATGTTTATAAGTATTTAAGTTTTAAAAGTGTCATTTCATTGTCACTCATCCGTCAACTTGACTTTTTCAAATCGTTGGAACTTTTTTTTTCAACTGCAATTATTTCATGCCATGCATCCCTTGCTTTTTGCTACTAATTTGACAATTTCTGCCACAAAAATTTCTAATGTCTACAGAGTTCTGGCAATAGCAACACCTATTTCAGTTATTCCATATCTTAGAACATATCAAAATTTCGGAATAAACAGTTATGAGTATGTAGGCATGTCATGTTACCAGAGATGCCAGAAGAAATCAAGAAATGTAGAAATGATAGACTGCATAGATATAGTAGAATCTCTGTATAATATTCCAGCCTCTTCTCTGCAAATTAATCTTAATTGTTACTTGGTTTGATGTTAACAGTATCAATCTTCACAGCTGGAAGCATTTCAATCTATCTCATCCTTTGATTCTTTTTATTTTTCTCCATCTTATGCTATCAAAATTTCTTCATGCATAAAAGAAAAATGAAGATCTTGACAACTGCAACCGTAAGCAAAGATGAATAAGGAAGAAGTGGAGAAGTGAAAAAATACTGTTTAATATCCCTGGTCGATGAGCAATATTTCAATTTATGACTGCCATTTTCTTCTCATAAAAACCAGAAAGGTATAGATGCTATCTCCCAATGAAGGGAAGAAAGCTTCCGTTTAACAAAGCTAACTGATATGAATATAAGTCGTCTTGATAAAGAGAATTGAAAACAAGAAGGCAGGTAATAGCATTATGAAACATACTGGATTAGGTTTTGCGAATCGTAACAGAGAATCTCCCCTTTTTTCTTTCCTTTGCCAAAATATCTTCGGTAGCCTTGATTTAAATGATCTACTTTCAAAATTTTTACAATAGGACAAATCAATCGGCAATATTTCAAAAAGTAAATGGATTCTTATTAAACCCGTGACCCACTTTTTTACATTCATTTGCTAGTGAATATTGAATAAATGCTAGCAAATAACAGGTTCTTTCCTCAAATAGTGCACATAAACGAATTCAGCGGATTAATTGATATCTCATTCCAAATGACTTAATACTGTTTATATTCTCTTTATTGAGTATTTTTTAATCGTTCAATCAGCTTTCATCTAAATTATTGATAAACTTATAAAGGCTGACAGTCATCTCTTCACAATATCTTTTTGTTCAGAGGATAGCTGTTTTTTTTTCAGTTCATCAAGCAAAAATTAAATTGCAAACTCACTGAACTGACACATCCACTTGAGAAATTGACTCCCTGAATGGGAGAAATCAAATGAAATGGAAAGGGGAGTACAAGAACAATAATGAATTAGCTTTCTTAATTATTGAACCAACTATAAACTATAGATAACAACTTACTATAAGCAATATTACAAACTTATATAAACAATTGAATCATTTATTCATTGGAATAAAATCTTGTTTAACAACAAACCAATCCCTACCAACATTTCAACACTCAAATTCACTGTTCCAGTTTCATTCTTTGACAACTCGAACAGTTACATAGTATTTAATCAGCTAAAACGTGCTTGACTAATATAGATTTTTTCTCCTGAAGGATCAAGTCTTTTTCTTCGTCTCGAGTGATTGTGGAATTTTCCTTACTCTTGTTGTAACCGCTTCTACATATCAGTTTCAAACATCTCCTTTATAAGTTAAAAAAAGTCAGATTTTTTGAGGCTTATCAATTCAATAATATTGTCAATCAATTTTTTTTCACAAATAAAGAGGGTAAATGTCATTATAATTATCAACCAGATTTTCTCAGAGTGTTCGAGTGCACGAACATGGTAAATATGAATGAATATATTCAAACAACAGTGTATTCCAAGTTGTTATAGTGATGTATTGATAAGCATAAAACATACAAATTATTTTTACAACCAAGTTTAATCAGACTTTCGAGTTAGGATGATCCGTTTTTATTGAATTTAATATAATCTTAGTACCATTTCGTCTCAATTAAATTATTTTGGCATATGACTGCCAAATTCTACTCTTTCTTCCTTTTTCTTCCCTAATGAATTAAATCAAAAAGCCGGTAGGATACAGCAAGAAGCGAAATCAGAAGGCCTACATGTATACCTCAGTAATAAATAAAATAACACGAAATCTCGAAGTTTATGCTAGCAATTATGCACTGATGATAGAAATTCACTTCATGTAATTAGGAACAATTCCTTAGCAAAACTGTACAACTTTCCTCCCTTCTCCTCATATTTAGAAAATTTTTTTTCCAAAGCTTTGATTTTTAATGTGGATCGTTCCATCATTCCCTGGCCTTCCGATTAATTTGATATACTATTCACTTATTTTCAGCAGCAACCAAAATCAAGAAACATACACAAACTATGGAAAAAAAACTTTAATTATGACAAAATGTTATCTACAGTGCATAATTTTACCAATTCATAATTTTATCTAATCTAGATTGACTTGGCTTTTATGTTCGCCATCAGTAAAGATGTAAGTAGAAAGACTTCTCTGCAAAGAGCAAATATTGAACTCCTCACTCAAAATAGATTCTTCTATTTCTTCCAAAACCAGGAGTTCAACATAACTTGGATAAAGTAGGATTCTGCACATGAGAATTATTAAATCACACTCTTCCTCTCTCTCTCTCTCTCTCTCTCTCTCTCTCTCTCTCTCTCTCTCTCTCTCTCTCTCTCTCTCTCTTTACAATGGCCATAACATGAAATGAATAAGTGGATAACAATGTTATGCCAGCTCATTATTCAGTCTTGAGTCATATTTTTTTTACGGAAGTCAAGCAGATTAACTATGATTATAGATATTTGTCTCTTTCATCCATTTCTCCAAAGTAATATAAAGATATAATAACAGTACCGTTCTTTTCTGTAAAGAAAGATCAGTACAATATTATAAATATTTTTTAGTTATTAGTCGTCTAATTGTATTAACCTATTAATTGGAATGCGTCGCAATATCGTAATGTCGTAACGTCTTGCTACACGGAATATTAATTGGGTATACTCAATATATCTATATTCTATTTTTAAATAAAAAACCACCTGGCATTAAAGCTTAAGCCCTAACCTATTCAAAACAACGGCTAAGTAGATTTTCGTCGAACCAGTTGCTTATGATTATTAATAATCAACAAAAATAAATGATAAAAGGTGATTGGGATTGAAACTAATTAACATAATCAGAAGCAATTATCGGATACTCCTTGCTATTTAGTACGGTTGCACGCTGATGAAAGAAGTGACATAAATTCCAAACAATTTAGACTTCTCTTACAAACTCCATTGCATATCCTCTGACATTTCCGAGGAGTGGGATGAGGAAGAGATG